TTTTTTTTTTTTTTTTTTCTTTTTTTTTTTCTTTTTTTTTCATTTCTTTTTTCACTCACTTCTAATAGTATCACACATCAAAGTGTCGACTTATTTTTTTTTTTTCCCATAAGTATCGATCATACTTATCTTCTCTTATCTCCCCCATCCCATCTCCTCCTCCTCCTCCTCCTCCTCCTCCTCTAGCTCCCCGATCCCTATTATTTTAATTTCTCTTAACAATAAATGTATCTAAATTTGATTGATTCGTTGGGTTCTAGCAATAATACGCATCGTATATGTGTGTATATGTGTATAAGTATAAATATGTACGTGTATTGGATGGGTCAAAAGAGTTTTACGGGGGAAGAGGAATAGGGCCCTAAATTATTAGATAATTTTAAACATCGATTATTCCTTTTTCAAGACTCTTTAGGCTTGTAGATAAGAATTTTTGTTTGTTTCAGAAAAAAAAATATTTCGAAAGAAACTAATCGATGTTTAAAATCATCTAAATGCTTTATGCCCATTTAAGGGACTCTTTTTTGACCCAAGTCAGCCCTATATTTTGCAATCTACCTTCATCTTTCCTTTCTTTTATGATACCCTCTTCCCCAATCTTTTCGCATTCTTGATTTTTGTTTTATCTTTTATTTTTTATTTTTCATTTGTTTACTTTTGTCTTTGCTTTGGTATGATTTGATATTTCACGAAACTATCACCATATTGTGCTAATCGCGAACGAGACGGATCTAAATCCGAAGTACATGAAATCAGTCGTATATATGTACTTCTTTGATTGATAATTATCTCGTTCATTTCTACGTATAAAAATATGGGCTGTTGATGTCGATGATAATGATGATGATGATGATGATGATGATGATGATGATGATAATAATGTTGCAGCCGTTGCTGTTGCTAGTGAGGGAGATGATAATGATGACGGGGGTGCAATCAGAATAAAAAATGAAAAAGTTTCATCAGCGATTGGCATTCGATTGTCAACAGCTGAAGAAAAAATTTGTGTATAGTTGCATGCTTGTACAAGAGACAAGAATAACAATTTGATATGAAGATATAGAAAGTATCTTTTTTCTTTTTTTTCTTTTTTTTTCTTTTTTTTTTCTAAAGAAAAAGGAAAAAAATATAGTAAATAAATAAAAATAATCACGGTATTATACACGGTGGGTTTTAAGATTGATTTTGTTCAAACGGCTTGAGAAATAAATATCTTTGCTAATCGTTTGTTACTATCGTAGGTCGCACCGTTCGAGAGATGCCAGGAGAGTTTTGGATTGGGGGAGGGAAGGGATTGGGATTGACGAGGAGACGGAAAATAAAAGAAAAGAAAAAGAAAAAAAAAGAAAGAAAGAAAAAGTTAAAAGAAAACAAAAATAATTAATCCCGATGATCACCTCTACGTAGCCGTGAGAGTTTCCAAAATGTCTTCTGGAGTTTTTTTCATTCGACGAAAATTCTCCCAATGTTCCTTCGGTACGGTCCACTCGAGAAAAGTCTCAAGATTCTTGGTGAGAGTTTCCAACTCTGAAAGACCTTTACCCGTTGCCGGATCCTTCCCAGCGGATATCAAAGAATCATGAAGAACTTTGTCGATAAGACGTTTACCGAAACCCAACTCGTCTAATCTTTCCTGTTTGCTGATCCTCTTTAATAATACAGCCAACAACAAACGCATTCTCTCGACCGTCATAGTTCTGTATTTTGTAGTATTGGTGATCTTATCGGTGGAATCGTTCGAGGCACCGAATGAATTGGACGAGCCCTCGACATCGGGTTCTACATCTGGATGGCAAGATTTCTCGTGACTCTCGAGATCACTTTTGATCCTGAAAAAACTCTTGCAACGTTTGCAACCATACGGTTCGCTCCTACCGTGAATACATTTCATATGTTTTTTCCAATGTGGCAATTGGGTGAAACCGGCGTTACATTCGACACATTTGAACGGCCTTTCCCCGGTATGTCTTCTGGTGTGCAACTTCAACGCAGTAGAATGCGCAAACGCTTGCCAACAGACCAAACATCTGAACGGTCTCTGTCCTGAATGAGTACGTTGATGTACGGTCAATTGTGATTTCTGAGCAAATCTTTGGCCGCAGGTGGCACAACCATGTGGTCTGTCCCTAGCATGAGTTCTCATATGTTGGGGCAGGTGTCCCTTAAACGTTTTGTTACAAATCACGCATAGAAATGACTTGACGTCGCGATGAAGGCATTCCAAGTGTTTTTTCAATGCATCACGCCTAACGAAACCCCTACCACATATTTCACATTTGTGATCCTTCTGACCGTTGTGCCTTTTAACGTGCAAAGCAAGATTCGCTGCACATGTGAACGTACCTGAACAGAGGGCGCAACGATAAGGTTTTACCTGACTATGTGTACGACGATGTTGAACCAATTGGCCACCCCTGGCAAAGCTCTTGTCACATTCCGGACACTTGTATGGCTTGAAGCCGGTATGGGTTCGAACGTGGAGCTTCAAACGTTCCTTCAATGGGAACTCCTTGCCGCACTCGTCACATTTGAAAATTGGCCCAGCACCGTGAACAACTTTATAATGATTCCTTAGGCCACCGCTACCTTTGAAACGGGCATCACAAACAACACAACAATATTTCTTTTGAGAATCCTTTTGGGTTTGATCCTCATTGCTACCATCGTCCTCTGATCTTTTTGTCTCTTCGTCGCTGAACGTTGATCCGTCCTGAACCTCGTTAGTTACTATCGTAGATAATTGAGATGGTGGTGGCGACGACGATGACTTCGAAGAACTCTCTTTCATATCTAATTTCTTTCTATCTTGACTAACGACATTGTTGTTATCTCTTTCGACCAAAAAATTCGCCTGGATTATCGCGTCAATCTTCAATCTTAATTCTTTCTCTGGATTATCGTCGGTCGTTGGAGTCGTTCTTTCTTCCTCGGATATCGATGAGTTTAACTCGTCCGTACTAATCTCTGAATTCTTTGAACGATGAGTGAATTTCTTTATTAGAACACCGTCGGTCGTTTGATAATCGTTTTCATAAATCTCTTCTGTATTTTCATGATTCACTTCGCTGGACGTTTGAGAGAGAGAGCACGAGTTAGATCTTTCACGACGGAACACGTAAATTTCGTCATTCAAACTATCTTTCGTTTTGTCCAAATCCAAATATGTTGGAATTTCGTCGTCGTATAAAACTGATTGATTATCATCGTCCTCTTCCGTATTGTCTTTCGTTCGATCAGTCGAATCAATGATCCCTATCTTTTTAACAGTCCTTTTGTTAGAACCTGACATTATCTTCTTAGAATCTTTCCTTACTACATTTCTTTTCTTGGACATTATCGATCTTTTACAATCGGTCACCTCACGATGATCGATGTCACGTTCGTTCGAATTATTTTTCTTCTTTTCCAAGTTATCAACGTTCGTATGATTCGATTTCCTCTTATTTCCACATCCACGTTTAGTTTTAATCTCATCTTTCTCACGGCCATTTTCTGTCTCGTCAAAAATTCTCAATCCAAAGTCTTGTTCCTCCTCGTTACATTCACCGGAAAAACTTCGGAGTGCTTTCAATGCATCGGTAGCATCGATGTCCTTGAAAACATTATTCTCCCTAATACGTGACTGTTTGACGGGCAATAGTTCGGTCAATTGAACCTCTTCTTGAGGTTGCTCGCTACTACTAGATACTTGTCCTAGGATCAACTGCTGCATATTGATCATGTTCAGAAAGTTAAGCACAGAGACGGAGACGGAGAGAGAGAGAGAGAGAGGGAGAGAGAGAGAGAGAGAGAGAGAGAGAGAGAAATAAAAAGAGAGAAAGAGAAATAAGAGAGACAAATTTTCGAGCACCTCAGCCTCGAGAGACTTCGACGCTCGCGTTCATCTATCAGAGCATATCGACAAGAGGACTAAAAACTTCTCCTCTCTCACGTATTATTACGATTAGATTAGATTAGATTAGCTCTTCTTCAACTCGGTGGATTCAGTGACGAATAGGCAACATAATCACGATCACTATTACCACTATCATTACCATTATCACTACCACTACTACCATCACCGTCACTACTACTTCTATAACCACCATCACATCTATCGAAATTATGTCGTCTTCTAGGTAGGATGAACGTCATGACGATGACGTTCTTGAACACTTTATCGTAACTATGTGAGAGTGTCCAGAAGTTAACAACGCGGATGGATGGAGGGAGAGAGGGAGAGAGAGAGAGAGAGAGAGAGAGAGAGGGAAAGAGAGAGAGAGAGAGAAAGAGAGAAAAAGTTATACAGTCTTATCACAGCTCGTTATCGCGTCTCGCGATAGCTTTACTCTCTTCTTTCTTATTTCTCTTCGTTTCTCTCTCTTTCTCTCTCTCTCTCTCTCCCCTCTCCCACCCCTCTCGTTCTGAATATTCCCTGTCGACTTCTCGATCCAAAGAAATATGATCTCTTTTTCTTCTCTCTCTCTCCCTCCCTCTCTCCCTCCCCCCTCTCTCTCTCTCTCTCTCTTTGTATCTATCTATCCGCAAAGACTTCCGGAAGTTCGTCGATGGCTCGTGCAGGCGTTGGAATCACCAAGCACAGAGCCAAAGAGGATAACGGAAGTCGAGTATACTCGACATCGCTAAAACAGATACAGTGATAGAATGACGTTATGCATTCGTCCTATCCTGTCGTTTCCTCCTCGTCGATCAACCGAATACTACTCGAGAGGAGAGCTTTGACTACTATCTTTCACGACGCGCACGATGGAATTCTTCGAGCGCGCCTTTTTCCACGCAAGCGCAATCCTCGGTCGATATCAACCCGGTTTCACCCCTCCTATAAACTCTCCTTCCTTCTTCCTCTTACTCACTCCCTCCCTCCTCCTCCCTCTCTCTCACTCTGTCTCTGTATCTTCCTCTCTCACTCACGCTTTCCTTGGATAGCTAGCTCGTTCACTTGCCTGCCTGCCTGCCTGCCTGCCTGCCTATCTGCTTGCCTGCCTGTCTGCCTGCCTGCCTGCCTGCCTGCCTGCTTGCTTGCCTGTCTGCCTGCCTGCCTGCCTGCTTACTTGCTTGCTTGCTTGCTAGCCGGCTTACTCCTACCCGGCTTTTCACTCTTGCCACCCTTCCAGACAAGACCCTGCTATCTTTCTCCCTCTCTCTCTCTCTCTCTCTCTCTCTCTCTCTCTTTCTCTCTCTCTCTCCCTCCTCACTTCTTCTTCTTCTACTCCTCTATTTCAATACCCTTCCAACCCTCCTTCCAACTTTCAAGCTCGTCTACAACCTCTCACCTTTCCTTCTTTTCCTTCAACTAGGAAACAATAGCTTCTCTCTATTATTTATATATTTCTTTCTTTCTTTCTTTCTTTCTTTCTTTTTTTCTTCTTTCCCTTCTTTCTTTCTTCCTATTATTTCATAACCCTTTTAGGTGCCAATGATATTACATCATCAGTTTTGTAACCATATTGATTGTTCAATAAATAGATTAATAATACTTGTCTCTCTCTCTCTCTCTCTCTCTCTATCTATCTATCTTTGTTTTTACTCTTTTTTAAACTTGATCATTAATCAACCTTGAAATTCGTGATTTTATCAATTATAAATTATTATTCTGAGTAGCACCTGTTCCTCCAATGTATTCTTTCAATTCTTCATCACCATCATTATAATCATCATCATCATTATCATCATCATGATTGTATGAAACAGGAATAGCTTGTTCAGCTCGTTAGAAATCAATAATGCAAGAATAAGGATGAGACTTTTCCTCGTTGTTTCTTGATACTTTTTTTCTCCTTTTACATCTTCATCGGTCATTGATCAAAGTTCACTTTAATAAAATACGATGAAGAATGATTTTCTCGTAAATTTTACTACATCTAAAAGCGTTTAAACTTGTTGATCTTTTGACTTCTTTGGTATTGATCTTTTCAGAGGAGGTTAGGGGGTGGTCGGTCCATCGACCACGTTTAAATTCAGACTAATTTTCTTTGGTGTATATCCTTTCGGATTAATCCTTTTAATCCTGTAGTGTAGTTTCGCTGACGTCGATCTTTCTACCTGTGCGTGACTAGATTCCTCTAAATAACAACAACAACAACAACAACAACAACAACAACAACAATAACAACAATGATCTCCTATCTCTCCTTCTCCTCCTTCTCCAGTTAACTCTCTAAACGTTGATTAATTTATTAATCTCTTCATTATTCTCTTCTTGTTCTTGTTCTTCTTTTTCTTTTTCTTCTTCTTCTTCTTCTCCTTCTTTTTGGAAATAAAAATGCGAATAGTTTTGATAATATCAATTAAATTTGTTAGTTAGTAAAGCGCAGCACACCCCCGTTCCTTTTTTTTGGGGAGGAATCCTAGTTAGGAAAAAGTACCCACCACCACCACCATCTGAAATAAAGGAAGATTACGAAAGGAGTCCCTTTTGGATTTCTTTTCTTTTTTGTTTTTTTTTTCTCTCATCGAGAAAAAAATCTTCGATTAAAGCAGTTTTTTTTTTAATTTTTTAATTTTTTTTTTTTTTTTTTTTTTTTTAGCAGAATCAAAAAAGCTCAAAACAAAGATCTTATATATAAAAAGAGGGAGCGAGAGAGAAAGAGAATGAAGGATATAAGTTTAAACTTCGTAAATTCGATTTAAAAGGTCAACTTTAGATAGCGTTGCTTAGAGATTGAACAACAAAACAACAAGACTGAGGATAAACTCTTCCTATCCTTTTCTCATTCTTTTTTCTTTTTTTTTCTTCGGGCTTTTTTAAAGATCATCGATCAAAAACCAAATTGTATCCATGCAAATAGACTTTGATATATATATATATATATATATATATATATATATATATATATATAAGATAACAAGTTGATTCTGTAATACAAAAGAAATAATAAATATTATTTATTTAAATACTAGTTATCTACACTATATTTATGTATTCATTTATGGTCTATAAATAGTATGTAATACTTATCGAAATATTATTTATATAAACAATAATATAATAATAATAATAATAATACAATATATAATATGAAAATATATTAATGTTTATTCGTTCTTTTATTTTAGAATCGACTTGTAATATTGCTATACATATGTTTATATGTATAAGAGTTACGTGACCCAATCCGAAAGTACGACGATCAATTTCCGTCGTTGACTCTGCTCGGACGCCATGAGCTTCAAGTTCTCATTGAAATCGCTCTTTCTGTTGCTTTCACACACATATATATATATACACACACAGAGTCATGAAAAGAGAGACACGATATAAATCTTGCTACACGATATATATATATATATATATATATATATATATATATATATATATATATATATATATATATATATAAGAAAAATGAGGAATTATAAATTCCCTTTGTATCGAGTATGTATATGTACGCATGTGTATATATATATATATATATGACGAGTATATAAATAGACTGTGTGTATGTATATATATATTATGTATATATATGCATAGGATTCGATCAAAATTCGAGATACATTTTAAACTTGATTACATAATGAAATCATGCTAATCGTGACACCCTATATAAATGAACTTTGACATCCAATGCATCTTGTTCGATCACGTGTTAAAATAATCATTCGATCGTCCAAGAGATCGATTTTCATTTAATTATAGATATACACACACAAACATATATATTATATCTATATATATATATATTATATACAACCACATGTGTATTAAGTCTAATAATAATCATAATTAATTTTCAACGAGTATACGTACACGATCTAATAATAAACATTTTAAATGCGAGAGTGAGGTTCAAAGGAATCCTCGACCAATCAGATTGCTCGACATACGTATGTCGTCGAAATATATCGCAAGGATGATTGCGTGAGTGACGTCACGTAAGAAATTTTTTGATTCGTCGCGCAACGTCGCGTAATGGAAGCGTCGATTCCGACCTCTTGCTATCTCTCTCTTATTCCCTTTCTCTCTTTCTCTCTCTCTCTTTCTCTCTTTCTCTCGTTCATTCGTAGTGTTATATAGATTAGCCGGACAGTCAGTCTCGTTCGAGAAAGAAAGAAAATGATAGAAACAGAAAAAGAGGACTCTTGCGCACGTGTACATGCTCGTTACCAACACATTGAACTAAATATATATACATATATATATATATATACATGTATATATATATATATAGCCATGTATATATACACACACGCGCACATGCACATAGATAAAGAGAGAACATATGTAAGTATGCGTGCAGAGCATAAAATCGTGCTCCCATTTTCCTTTTGATCACACAGAACGTGTACGTACGAGCTCGTAGCGCATTGAACTTCCCAGGGAAGAGAAGAAGCTCACAGCGACTATATATATATGTATATATATATATATACATATATATATATACATATATATACACGTTCCGCGATTTTGTCATTTTGAACTACCTGAATTTTCCCGCCGTTCCCCTCTCTCTCTCTCTCTCTCTTTCTCTCTCTCTCTCGAATTGCAAAATTTGTTTCTTTCCAAAGCACAAAGGCGAATATAGAGGTACGAGGAGGATTGCGAAAAAGCTCTCTTACTTACCAGACAGGACATTACGTCGATGTTTATGGTCGTTTAACGGACGAGGAATAAGCTTCCTTTCTAAGCGACTGACTCGACCCTACCCTCCTGTCGCCATCTTCGATGCGCTTTAAGCTTCGCCGATGAGTCGTATCGGAGCGAGAGAGAGAGAGAGAGAAGAGAGAGAGAAATAAAGACAGAGAGAGAGAGAGAGAGAAGAGAGAGAGAGAGATTTTCAGAGTTGGAGGGGATGAAGAGCAGGCGAGATAAAACATACGAATGTTTCATCTTCTCCCCAACAGATGGCGTTCTGAGCGCGGCCTTTACGAAATTTCACGAACACCCTCTCGTCATCGTCATCGTCGCCGTCGTCGTCGTCGTCGTTATCGTCGTCGTCGTCGCCGTCGTCGTGGTCGTGTCGTCGCCCTCGCTGCCGTTTGACGCTGCTGCTGCTGCTACTGTTATTGCTGTTAGTGCTGCTGCCTTTATCGATCGAATCCGTCCGTATTGGACCACTGCCGCCGTCGCCAACGCCAACGCCAACGCCAACGCCGCGCTTAAACAGACGGAATCGTTCGCACGCCTGAAAACTCCTTTTGCGCGGAATTTTAACGCGCCGCAGACGAGAGGCCCCGATGGGTTAGATCGTAATCTATTTTCTTTTTCTCTCTTTCCCACTTTCTCTTTCTCTTTCTTTATCTTTCTCTTTTCCATATAATTAAACGTCGAGAAGCGTGAACTACGTTAGAACAGGTTATCTCGATGTCTTACAATTGTCATACTTTCTTCTTACAATTTTTTTTTCTAGTAAAAATTTTTTCATACAAATCTATATCGATGAAAAGAATTGACAAGATTATAGTTTCAATAAAAGAATTAACAAGACAATATTGGACGACGTCGTCTATAAGAAAAGCTAGAACGAAAAGGCTATCTGGCAAATAAAATAAAAAAAAAAAATATACATAATACGTACGTATGTAATGTATGTATACGTGTGTATATGTGCGTGTTTATAGACATACATTTTCGATATTGAATGATACGATAGATTTCTTGGAACGAATTCGTTCGTTAGTTACGCCCTTGTGTTCGTCGTAAATTCACGAAATACGTACGATTTAATATGATCAAAGAAAAAGCCTGACAAAATAGACTGATAAGGATCGATCAAAAGCGATCATTTCTAAGATTTCTTCACGTAGAAATATACAATTATTATTATTATATATGTATATATGTATGTATATATATATATACACGTATATGTATCAGGCTCGTCGATATCCCTTCGAAGGGATATAAAGGCAGAAGGAGTATAAAATTTTGTTCTTTATCGACCTTCTGTCAAAGCACCAACAAGGTAACCAGTTCTGCGCTGATAATTCACACACACACACACACACGTATGCATATACACATACACATATGCGAATACGTACATAGAAACACGACTCGTTGTATCGTTAGATACAAATATATATTTTTAGATAAGAGAAGGAAGAAAAATGAAAGGAGATTATAAAGGAGAAATTGTAAAAATTAATTATAGTAATGTTTAATTCGATAATTAATTTATTCGTAAAACGTAGTTAATACCTATACTACGTTTAGATAACATATATATATATATATATATATATATATATATATATATAAACGAGCCCTAACCGATGTTAAGCTTGATTATACGTATATCGACCAATCAGAAGGCGTCGTTGAGTCTATGCCACCTCCACCTCCTTCACCACCTCTTCCTTCTCTTCAACCTATTACTATTACTTATACCAGGCTTCTCGTTACAATTTCGAGGTGGGAGAGATTTTAATGCCGAAAATATAACAAACGACGTATGCATATTCCAATCTCTCGTCTATACATTTTTTACGTATATATATATATATATATGTATATATACATATACATATATGTCTATATAGTACTTATATATAGACGTATTAAAACGTTCTTCTAAACGTTTAGCATATACTTCCATCGGTACATGCAAATTGTCGAATCACTCGCAACGAATGTTCAGTGACTTCAATGCTTAGAAAATAAGCGATTCAACGTGGTTATGTCTTCTCTTTCTCTCTCCCACTCTCTCTCTCTCTCTCTCTCTCTCTCTCTCTCTCTTTCTCTCTCTCTCTGTATCTTTCTTTCTTTCTTTCTTTTTTCTTTTCCTCTCGGGTTGATTATCTCAACGATTCGAATTAATCCATATATGTGTGTATGTTATATGCGTATATATATATATATATATACATATATATACATATGTGGATATGTGTATCTTGAAATTTTCTCGCATGAGAGAATTATTATGTTATAACGTGTATTAAAGATATCACGATAATGTATAATTGATCGTGCGAATGAGATGAATCGAGTTATCGTGAAATCAAACGATTATTATCGATATCGTTACGTTTATCGGTGTATATATATATATATATATATATATATATATATAAATTTATTTATTTTGTTTTGCTTTGTAACATTTTTCTATTCTTTTTTCTATTTCTTAAGATATCATTGTCAATAATATCTTATGCGGAATTTTGTATACCGAACGTATGATCGATCGAAAAGAAAGAGAAAAAGAATCTTAATCGTTAGATTAGTGGATAAATTATCATGTCGTAGTATCTCGTTGTAAATAAAAAGTTCGTAAGGGAGTCGTGAGATGGCGCTGTGGATCGCGGAACAGCCATCTTAGTTCGGTTAACGACGAGGACGCGACGGAAACGGCCGAAGTCTCGTTCGTCGAGCGCTAGTGAGACGAGTGACACAGAGACGTTTGACAGTGCGGATAGTGTAGCGAACGAGTGTGGTCACGTCGAGCTTGATTTAACTTCGACTATTTTTTTTTTGGGTTTCTAAAGCGCAGCTGTCACCTTTGTTACACATATATACTTTTTACTCTCTTGTTGGCTGTGAAAGCGCGGTGATTCTCGTGAGAGTGACGCGCCTACCACGATCACGCTTCGTAATATTACATTTCGAGTTGAATTCCTTTTCTCTCTTTGTATCTTTCTCTCTCTCTCTCTCTCTCTCTCTTTCTCTATCTCATTCTCTCTATTTCTTTCCATCTCTCTTTCTCTTTCCTTCTTCTTTCTCTCTCTCTCTTTCTCTCTTTATATCTCGTATATTTCGTATATTTCTCGACTTTACGTTTAAATCGTGCTCGTGTACTGTAGCAACGAAGAAGAGAAAGAAGAAAAAAAAAAGAAGAAGAAGGAGGAGGAAGTAGAAGAAGAAGAAGAAGAAGAAGAAGAAGAAGAAGAAGAAGCAGAAGCAGAAGTAATAATAGTAGTAGTATAAGAAAAAGGAAATAAATAAGAAACAACAAAGTTGAGGACACAGGAAAATGATGACAAGGAAGACACAACACTGACGTTTTGTTTTCGATCGTTGCGTCGCGTGTGTACCACCAGTTGCGTGTTGCGTAACCCCGATTTTACGAGTTTCTATCTTTCTCTCTTTCTCTAGATCCCCCTACTCTCTCTCTTTTTCTTTTTCTCTTTCTTTCTCTCTTTCTCTTTCTTTCTCTCTCTCTGTCTGTCTGTCTCTGTCTCCCTCTTTATTTCTTTTTCTCTCTCTTACTCCACCTATCCTCGTAGCTGGTTCGCAACACGTCTGCAGGTTCAACAGGCAGGAATCTTTCAAACTTCAACATTGACTGGACAACATCTTCTTCTTCTCTCTGGACCGTACTAATTATCTTTGGAAACATCCAGTATCGTACGGTGAGTTTTTATTGTTTTTGTTATCATTGTTGTTTCTTTTTTGTTCTCTCTCTCTCTCTGTTTGTATATCATTACTCATAAATGACTTTATAATTTGTTTCCTTTATATACATAAAATAATATTTACACGTGGATAAAACACTTTTCATATAGTCCATTAAAGTATTTTGTTTTGTTTTGTTTCTTTTTCTTTTTCTTTTTTTATTTTTTCTTCTTTTTTCTTTTTTTTTTTTTTTTTTTTTTTTTTTTCTTTTTTTTTGTAATTTAACAACAACTCAAGATAATAATAAACATGTATTTCAAATTAAAATTATATGTATATCTATTTGAATTCATTTAGATTTTCAATAATAAAAATACCCACTAGTGGTATGATTAATAGAAATATTCTATAGAATAAAAATTTTAGAATATTAAACTTTATGAACTGTTATGTTAATTTTGTAAAAAGGTTCTTTGTATGGATTGTTTTTGTCGATTTACTTTATAAATGTTCTTTAATGTTAGACTACGGGCAAGTCCAAATGTTTCATAAGTTTGAACTATTATCAATCAGTTTATATGTTATTTTTAGGCAAAACATTCAACCCTTGACACATATATGTATATATATATATACACATATACATATATATATATATATATATATATATATTTTCTTGCGCAAATTTAATATCATTCAGTGATATAAGTTATGCAATTAAATGGTTAATGTTATTTAGATGGTAGGAGAGTGTTAATTCGGTGTAGGTTGAAAAGGTAACATATAGTAATAACAACTCGTTAGAGATTATCATTGATCTTATCTAATCTCACTGTTTCTCTCTCTCTCTCTCTCTCTCTCTCTCTCTCTCTCTCTCTCTCTCTCTCTCTCTCTCTTTCTTTTTTTCTTTCTTTCTCTCTGAGAATGGTCTGAGATCGTTCCAATTTTAATATTTTTATTTAGAGGTTTTTAATAAAAAATTTAAAATTTTTATTAAAAAAAAAGAACGGAAACCAATGTGGATTTTTAAAAATCGAATATTTCGTAAGTTAGAAAAAAAATATTAAAATAAAATGTAGAAATGTAAATCGGAAATAATGAATAAGACGATTATTAGATCAAATGCGAAAGTAGGTAGGAGGGTAAAGAAAAGTAAAAATAAAGGGATAATAAAATGAAAAGTAAAAGAATAAATCGATAGACGACGGTTGCTCTTGAGAGGTGAAAAGCAAGCGAGCAAACGATAAAATTAGAGTTATGACTGTGATTTCCTGACCGTGCCTGCCTCGTAAAAGTCACCAGTGTCTTATTCGTCGTCGTTGTAGCTCAATATCTTGCGAAATTATTAACCCTATACATGTTGTGTAAATTTTTTATATATATATATATATATATATATTTTTTTTTTTTTTCTTTAATTTTTTATCGAAGAAGAAAAAAGAAATAATTTTCTCCAAGGGATACACTATCTCTCTTGTAAGATCAGAGAAATAACAATAATAATAATAATAATAATAATAATAATGTCAACAAAAAATTATTCATTAACTAAATTATCCATTATCCAAAAAAAAAAATATATAAATCATATATTAAAATTATTATTATTATCTAATTAATTTTAATTATAATAAATAATTTTTAATTATCATTATTTTCAATAATTTATTATATACTTGTATTATATAGTATTTCTTTTTATTCACCATCATTATTTTTATTACTATATTATATTTATAAAAATAGATGGTCTTGTTTTAATTAGCTCTCTATTTAAATATTTTTTTTAGTACTCTGCCGAGAGTATTCAGTATGTTAATTCGAAAAAAATGGGGGGGGGGGGGAATAGAAGAAAAAATCAGAAAAAAGAGCGTTAATGAGCATTACATTAACCCTTTCGTTACATTCGATCACCGATCGAGCAACAGCTCGAAGGGACAGATCTCGTTAAAGGGCTTTAATTTTTTTAAGACTTAATCAAAGCCAAGATCATCATCCAATTGACCTTTTCTTCTGATCACACTTGATACTTAGATACACACACACACACACACACAGACACACACACACATATGTACATGTATCCTTATATTTTTTATTTTTTTTTTATTTTTTCCTTTCGAAGGGACGTGATTGTATTTGGGAGAATGAGGAAAGAATTTTTTTGATTTATTTTTTACTTTAGAAAATTTTCTTCTCCGCAAAATTGATTTAAATTGATCGACCTATTAAAATAATATTTTCTATTTCGTTACAAGCTGTTATTTCGATATAAAAAAAAAAAAAAAAAAAAAAAAAAAGTAATAATAATGCAGTAAATCATCTTTAGAATTTTCTTCATTCTTTTTTTCGTCTTCTTCTTCCTCTTCTTTTTTCTTCTTCTTCTTCTTCTTCTTCTTCTCCTTCTTTTTTCTTCTTTTTTTTTTCTTTTCTTTTTTCTTCTTCCTCTTCTTCTTCTCTCTCTTTTTTATCAGCCATCATATTTCCACCGAAGTAGTAGCCTGCGTGTATAATAAGATGGAATTATCGGTCCAGACCGTAGAAAAGGATAAAAGAGAATAAGAGTTAGGCTGACTGTGGTAGTTAACGATAAACACAGCTTTTGCGTATACTTAAAATGCATATCAGTGTATGACCGTACACAAAAGTAACAGACAAACACAATCAGACGAAGATAGAGGCACAAATGCATGTATAACATACACGGATGAATAAAGAAACGGATACGAACATAACAAATAATAAATGCATAAAGTACAGACGCATGTATATTAAACAGATGCATTTATGACACATATACATACACATACAAAGAGAAATAGAGAGAGAGAGAGAGGAAGAGAAAGATACAGGTAGAGGTACACACAGATATACATAAAAAAAAAAAAAAAAAAAAAGAGAGAAATAATGATTATGAATCGGTCAAATAAAATCCGGGACGTAAGAAGGACATTCTCAAGAGCATAACAAATAAACATAAACGAGTTTAACATTAATGAGGAGTTTGTAAAGTTTCGCTTATGGAATCGGCTTAGATGAATAGTCATGGCTGGTCTCTTTTAATGTATAATTATAAAGTGTATCGTTGTTTTAATTAATCCTTTGCGGTCGTATGTCTGCTCTCATAGCTATCAAAGCTTTTTTTTACCGTTCCAGTCGTACGTCTGATCTCAACCACCACAACAAAGAACCATACTAATCTTAACATTGTATTCATACATGTATCAATTTATACTTTCTCTAAACGAAACTGAATCTGTCTAAAGAACCTATTTACGAACCAATACGGTGTTGATTTCAATTGTTAACAAAAAAAGAATTCAATTTAAACAAATGGCATTCTTACTCTTGCCGTGGAAGACGCCGTGGCGAGTTAGACGCCTAAAGAAATTGACGAACTTCGGATATTCTTCGTAGAATTCCAAAGAATATTTTACAGATTGTATTTAACTGTAATTACTGTAATTAGCCATTCTCGCTTCTTAATATGGGGAGGTGTCGTCAATAAGACCGACCAATTAGAACAGTTTCATATTGTTTTATGAGAAAATCTTGCAAATAATGAAGAAAAATGTTTTTCGTGGTAATTAAAAGTTTGCGCAATCATTAGCTACATCTTATATAAGGTGTCAGTTAGAAAAGGAAATAAAACGCGTATGTCATATTTTATGTTTGTCCGAAAATTGATGAAACAATTCGTTGGTGATTTTCGTGATGGAGCATCTTCAAAATCAGAAAGATCATTGTCCTCAGATAAAGAGGAAAGATTTAATGGCGAACTACATATATCTGTATATTCAAACAGAAAAATCTAGATTGCCGGAAGACGCCAAACTAATTATTTTTGGTGACACGTGTAATCGAAAACCACAGGACTTCACGTTGAAGGCTATTTTGAAAGATACCACACAATGGAAAATTATAAAATATAATTTTTATACATCTAAAGTTTGTTGTTCTTCAATGAAAATTAATTCCGACTAGTACGATACCCATGTCTAGTTTTAATACGACCGCAAAGAGTTAAATAAGAAACATTCATTCTACTTCTTCTTCTTATTATTATTTACTAGTAAGCGTAAAAGACACGATTCGATCGTAAAACCATTCTTAAATTTTTGTTTCCGTTCAATGTAATGTTTCAAAGTAATGTTTCGACCCGGAATGATTTGCATTTAAACAAAAATAACGAATTATATTAATTCGTCGTTTTACATTTGTTAATCATTAAAACGACGATTGACTTTAAAATTTTTATATTAATTATTCATTATGTCGAGATTAAATATCATCGCATTATTATTTTTCCATTTGTTTTCAATCCTCCGTGTTATTTTCCTTCTTTATTTTCTCTCTTTCTTTCTTTCTTTCTTTTTTTTTCCCCCCACGTCTCGTTTTATGCATGGATATCAAGCGAAAAAAAGAAAAGAATTATTAATGTAACAGATTAATATATCGCAGTGCGTTAGCACGCAATATATCGCAGTACATTGTGCGCGCGCGCGCGCCTTGAATGTAGCATTTTTTCTTTTTTTTTTTTTTTTTAATTATCATAAAACAGAGCATACGGTTTAAACGATAAAAAATGAGGATTAAGAAAAACAAAGTCAATTTTTTGCGTCAGTCAAAACCAATAATCAGCATTGATAACTATTATCCGCTTGTGTTTTATTAATTTATGACCGTGTCCAAGGGTCTCTAATTATTTGATTAAAGAAAAAAAGAAAAAAAAAAGTAAATAAATAAATAAACAAAAAAGAAAATAAATACGATTACAATTATATGGTAATAATTAAAAAAAAAAATTAATTAATTAATTAATTATTATGTTAATGTATATACAAATAAGTTGTAATAAAAAAGGAGAAAAGTAATTAGGATTCTTCTATAAGATAAATTTATGGAGAGAAAGAAAGAAAGAAAGAGAGAGAGAGAGAGAGAGAGAGAGAGAGAGAGGGTTAGAACGTGTTAACTAGCGTTTAAAAAGGCATTTAGAAGAGATTAGAAGAGAATGACA